CCCCTTCCCACTATTGTCCCCATCCTTCACATCACAGCATAAGGACTAGCATTTTACGTCTTCAGTTCCATGTGCCACATGTTCATTTGCTCAGGGATGCACTCTCTCCTTATAGCACCCTAAAACCTGGGCCCTGAATGTGCAGGTTAGCTCGTGGCTCCAGTGTGGGGTGAACTTTCAGAACTTTTGTATAGAAAGACTCATCTTCACCATTTCCATGTAAGCATGTTTCCTTTGCTAAAGAAGAAAAGAAGCTTGCTGACTTGGAAACAAATCTGTTTTCAGTTATGGCTTATATTAAAAACTGTGCCAAATATTTGATCCTGTGTTAGGGACGTTTGAGGGTGTGAAAAGCTTGAGCTGAAGACAGCTAGGAAAACAGAAAAGACAGAGCTACATGTTTTTAGCATTACAAAAGTTATTCTATTTCCAGAACCACGGGGGGGGGGGGGGAGATGGTTTTGATACAGTGCCTGGTGGTATAGAGCCTTCACTCTGTGTGAAAATGTCTTCCATGTCCTTAAACAGCAGATACTTAAAATAGTCCATAAATTGAAGGGTGTGTGCATGTCCACCCGTGTGTGTGTTTGAACCCTTAACAAGTTGACGTTTTGTTTAAAGTCAAAGAAGAGATGCTTAGGCTTACCAGCTATGCCTGAGGCTTAACCCTTTCACATAAATGTCCCAGTTGGCTAGAACCTGAGCAAGTTATTCAGGCTCTACAAATTGTATCATTTGCATTTATAAAATAAGGAGGCTGCAGGTGTCTACCTATTTATCGCCTCATAGAATTACTGGAACATTTAGCTGCATAGTGGATTCAAACATGGATAGTATGGGCATTTAAGCAAAAATACTAACTCTTCTTAAGAAAACACATGATTACTTAATCAAATGAAGCGTATTTTTCTCTTTTGATATACATTGCAAGAGTTTTATGCTCTACCAATTGAGCCTAAAATACATTGTAATTGCATAATCAAGACACTGTTTTCTGAAGGCCATCCATGAGAAGCATCATCATTGTGTGAGTCAAAAGAGTTTCTTGTGCTGCCTAGCCTAGGTGCTGGCCAAGTGTCTGTAGCCTTTCTTAAGCATGGGTTTTAAGCATTTTTCTGTTTGATTATTCATCCTAAAAGTAGGAACATTAATAAGCTAGAAACAGCAATATTGCAAATGTCCCAGAGCTACACAGGTTTGTGATCCTTATTAGGATAATAATCCATTTGCTAGGAAACTGCATCAGTTTTCAAATTAAATAGATTAATGTAAAGGAGAGGAGAAGTCTCTGGTTTTTCACATTGTGTCTCTTAACATGGATTTTCCTGAAAAAAAATTGGAAAGACTTGACTATCTGTTTTTCCTCCTGTCCTCACTCAACCTATTAAGGAGGCCAAGTAGCCATTAAAAAAAAGGAGTGTCTGTAGTTAGGCTCAGGATTCTGTAGGTCAGATGGTTTCTGGAAGTTTCATATTTCTGACAAGGTTTAAAGTTAAAACCTTTTCTGATTACCAGACATTTTTAGAACACAGCTGATTAGCAGTTCTGCCTGTATTTGGTATTCGATTATCCTTGGCACCTAGCTTGCTTTATTTTCATCTTGCCTGATCACAACACAATCTACGAATGATTCTTCTAACACAGTGTGATTGGAATAATAACTTCGAGTGTTGGAGACTTTCGTGCCACAGCTGAGAAGCATGTAAATACAAGCTGCTTATTTGCAAGAAGCTTCCAGATTTGCAATATGATTGCTATGGAAACCACATAATGAAAACCTTATAACCATCTGTGTGGTTTGATGGATTTTACTGCATAGCTGGGCTGTTTTTGTTTACTATTATTAAATTGTTGAATGGAATATATTAACCCACAAACATCGACTATTTGTGGTATTAATTAGTATTATATAATGACATTGTGCCTCAGTACGAAAATAAAATATGTTTAATAATAAATCTAAGTAAAATAACATGCAAATGTATGTATTTCTAATATGGAGTGAAGATTATTATTACCTAAATTTTGGTTATTTATTTTGCTATAAATTTTTGGTTATTTGTCCGTCTGCAGCTTTTAGTGGTGTGGAGAGTTTTGCTCTGTTAAGAAATAAATGTTAGGACTTCCATGATTTTTGGATCCATTTGTTCACAGTATTTAATAAGAACTTTCCTTTGTGCCAGGCTCTAGTCAGTATTCATTGTGGCTATTATCCCCTAAAATTAAAAATAAACAAAATTTGAGTTTATGGTTCATGTGAAAGCAATTTGTACTGTTAGGCCAAGATGAATGAATTGTTGAATATTATTTAGAAAACTTGATGGATGGATTGTATGAGGTTTTCACGTAAAATGTCAGTACAGTTTTGAAATGCAAAAACAGCAGCACAGAAGCACCCCAAGCTCTGCCACACACTTACATCTCACAAAGACTGGTGTGGATTCTTTGCTGTAAATATTGGTGCTCAAGTATTTTAATGTCATTATTCTGATGATCTAATAATACATTTCACAGAGCAAAGTTTTCCCACACCAGCACAATCTTTAGCATGTGATATAGGCACATTTTAATAAACTAAAAAGAAATGTGTAATGATAAATTCTTCAAAATTTATTGTAAACTTTGCCAAGATTATTTTCTATTTAATTTCGCAAGTATTTTTTTTATGGTACATTGGTGCTAACAGTGCATGGAGAGTCTAAAGTGCATTTTCCCAAAAGCCAGAAATAGTCCTTACTACCTAGATGAGGCTCTGCTGTAGCTTTGACTAAGGACAAGCACCCTTACGGTTTTTACCCGTTAACAATGGCTTTGTGGCCAGAGAGGAAGGGAAGGCACGCTCTGTCTTCCATCTTTAAAAGTAAATGTTCCATCTGTGAAAAGAGCGGGCAGGATTAACTGTGAAATTCTGCCTGTAGAGTTTATGTGAGAACAGCCCATAAACAACCCGCTTGTGATAAGTAGTCCTTGAGGCTTGGCCCAAGTGAGATGATGGTTGTTCAAAGAAGCACCCCGTATTGAATTACCGAGGTTAACTCGGCAGTGTGCATGAAGACAAGTCATTCCAGCTGCTCCTTATTTTGGAGCTTTTATTATTTTGTCTGAGTTGAATTATATAAACTCAAACCACTTACATTGGACTTCCAAGTACAGTAACTCTAAAGCTTGTTTCAAATCCTTGTGTCGATTAATCACTAGTTAAAATGTACAGGAGATTTTTCTAATGCTTCACAGTTGCCCTTTTCTCTGGTATTCATCCTGTCCAGTTGCAAAAACACATCCATGTTCCCCCAACAACACAGGTTATCTGGGCTAGCCTTTTCGTGATGATTTGTCCATTAGTCCCAAAACCAGAGCCTTAAAGTGGTCTAGGCAGGCAGGCACAAAGCTTATCGATTCTGGTTCCTCCATCTCTCACAACACCTCCTTCCTGTTTCCTCTGCCCCTGCAGTTCAGGACTTCCTTCCTCTTTATCTAGACTCTCCACGACCCTCATTCAGGCAGTCTGAGACAATGGGATCTAATGCTCATTTCTAAAGCAATTTCAGTCCTGCCCTGTCTGCTCAGAAACTTTGTAGGGCTCTCACTGCCCACCAGACTGGAGTCTGAAGGCTCTAACAAGATGTTCATGGACCCTGAACTGGCCTCCATTTCTCACATTGTCTGCTAGCTTGCTCGTCCCCAAGAGTACCATGCTACTTTGTCCAGTGAATGTTACAGTGCCTTGTTCTTTAAGTTGGGATCTGGGAGTCTTGCATGGGTTCCCATGTGCCTGGGGTGAGTGGATCCCCGGCACCTCTGCAGTGCTCTGTGACCCCCCCCCCCCCATCAGGGGTGTCCGCTGTTAGCTCCTTTCCCTGGGTCTCATCCCCAGCAGGCAGTCAGCTTCCACAAGGAGGAAGCTTCCTGTCACCTTTGCCTCCTTGGCACATCCTCCCTCTCACTCGTGGGGAATCCTCAATGTAAATTAGTTGGCTGGCTGACTGCATAGTCATACTAGCTACCTGTGTGGATGTTACATGCACATTATGGATTACTCTTGAGTTAGGACATTTTTTAATTTAGTTTTTCTTTGCTATGCCATTTATTTATACATCCTAGATAATTTTTTTCAGTTTTGTATAAATCCTTAAGTAGGGAAAGTGATAATGTCATATATCTATTTTTAGTAGAAAAGAATGACATAGTATGATTTTGTTTAAAGCCATTTTTTGCTTAATTCTTTGCTTAATTTCGTTCCATATCCTGGGATGGGTATGTGCTTGTATTGTGTGGGAGAAAAAAATTAAAGCAAAATACTGACTACGGGGGATAAAGAACATGGGATTTTTCAACCACAGACTTCTAGTTTGAGTCACATGCTTTGGAAGTTTGCCACCTTCTGCGTTTCAGTGTACTTGTCCATAGAAGGATGATTACTAACCATCCATCTAGAAAGCCTGATGTCCTGTGGTAGTGACATGTAGTAGAATTTGGGGTAATTCAAGGTAATTTAGGGGAATTACCATGAAGGGTTAGGACCCATCTACTAGCCTCTTGAGAGAAGATTAAGTGAGGAAGCCAACGATCAGGTCTGACAATTCATGACCTACGGATTATCTATATTTTATATCATAATTTTTTCCTGTGCTGTCTTGATGTTTTAGGAACCATGGTTTTGTTGTAATATTCCTGCTACTCAGTATAAGTAGCATATTTGTATAATGTTGGCTGTTGCTTTACCAGAATTGAGAGCTGTCGTGAATTTAAGATTGCTCCGGACAAGTTTTTCTAAGTATTTAAAACAAATATGCAACACATTAGCGCGTATCTTACATTGTATCAGCTCACCTTGAGCTTTGGTGAGGGTGTTGTTTGGTTACTAACAAAGGAATGTGGATCTTGAGTGTTTCGTGCTTTTAAATATAGTTGTTAAGTGCTGTAGACTCTGTCTACAGAGATAGGCTCTCTGATAGACTCGGGGCCTGTTAGTGTGCCACTAACGTGCTGTTTATTTGCAGAGGAGGAAGAGGACACTGCTTCGGTGAAGATGGCAGAGCAAGGCAAGGGGAGTCAAGACAGTACTCACCACCCCTCAGGTAGCCCTGGCAATGCTTATTTTTGCTTTGTTCTCATCAGTTCCTAACTCTCTGAAGATGCTGCACAGCTCCAGAAGAAGTTGACTTCTTTGGCCTGTCTGTCTTATGGCTGATAAGCTGCTTAGTCCCATTTAGGATGCATGAAAACCACTTGAGAAGGATTTATAAAGTAAGCCAATTTATACAAGGTATTCCTTCCTGAATTACTTTGTAATGACTCAATTAGCTTTCATTTCTGCACAAAGGAGATTTAGTTGCATAAATTAGCTTATCATCATTGAGGAAGTGTCACTGCTAAAGGACAGTTTATAGATACAACATGCAGTTGCTGTCAAACCTATAAGAATGTAATATAGACATCTGTGTATACTTTGTGCTTGAGCAGAACAGACTTCTGCCATTCAGAGACTAACAGGGGACAACAAGTTGCCCAGGGGACTGGCAATGTAGACATCTCTGAAAAGGTCAACTTGACACAGGCTCTGACAATCGACCCACAGCTCTGTCTTCTTTGATAAAAATCAGATAAACTTAAGACCGCTAATTGATCTGCAGCCTGTTTAAATGTTGGCCATGCATATCTTCATTGCATATGATTAACACAGAAAGCAAATGAATTGGGTAAGAAATGCCAGAGTCCAGTGACAGCAGCTAAAAAATTAGAAAAGGACACTGGTTGCCTAGAAGACTGGGAAGGATACTCTCTGCCTCATCCTTTTTCTCCTGGCACCCGGCCCCAAGTACTAATTATGACTGAGATTGGAAAAGAACTGTGCAGATGATGTACAAAGTCACACAATATGGACAGCTTTTCTTGCTTGTTGTTATTTCCAAGCAGCACAAGATAAACTGTCCGTAGTGCAACCGTGAGGTTAGTTTTGATAAACCAGCAATTATTTCACAGGGCAGGAAGAGATGGGCTGCCTTCTTATCAGGACTTTACACCTCTTCATGGCCACACGTCAGCTGGGGCGAGGTCTGCCCTGTCCCCCCCTGGGTCCTGTAAAGAGCTGGAGCTAGGGTCACCTTCCCCTCTCTGATAGGTCCATACATCACTCTTTTGAGCTGTCAGAAGCAGGGCGGACAAGCAGCGCATGTTCAGGAAGTAGCTTTCCCGAGGCCATCCTACTGTGACATAGGGGAAGGAAATGGAGGCCTGCTTCTGGGCCTGGACAGGAAGGCAGGAGCAGGTTGCTGCAGAAGGTTTGGGATTGCTTTCTTTTTAGAAAGGAAACAAGAACAAAGTCATCGTATGTTAACACTCTTGCCCTGTAAAACCCACTGTGAAACATGGCAGCAAGTGAAGTCCAGACTTTGTAGTAAATTTGGTGTTTATATTTTTAAGTTATATATCACAGCTTCTGCCAAAGGCACGCAGGTTGCTGTTTTCAATTTCTGTGCAGGTGTAGAGAGTAGACACACATAGTAGACAGACCTCCCACAGATACAAGTGCACATGCCTCCAGTGTTTGCCTTTGAGGGTGGGGGAAAGTAGTTTTCTCAAAGGACTTTTCCTGCCGTAGCCACAGGGCACTGCACCATCTCTTACTGCTCGTAACACGGAGTCCCATCAAGCCACAGCCCAATGCCTTTGCACAGTGATGACCTTTGCCCATCCCTGTGCCATCAGTGACTCGATGCTTGCCACCCACGGCACTTGCTGTCTTGCTCAGCATCACATGATGTGAACCTCTATCTAATCTTACTTAAGAATTTTATGTATTTTTTACATTGATTAATTTGACAAAAAAAATAATAATTTTCCAATGTAAACTATAAAGCTGAATCCATCTTGTCTCCCACCAGTTGCTTCACATTTATTCATCTTGTACAGATCATACATATAGAAATAGGTATATAGATGGTCCCAATTGATTTTTTTAACACTATAAAAATATTCTTCCCTTTCTTAAACACCTCCCAAGCTGTTGTCCCCCAGGGAGAGGGTCCCATTGTTGTCATCATGCTGCATTCATTGTTGTCATGTCTTTTATAATCTTGCCTTTGTAGAATATCTGTTTTTCCATGTTTAATTTGAACTTTGGTAACAATTCTGTTAGTTTTGTCAAGTATCTATTTTAGTAACTTTTTTAAAGCACATTGTCTAAATTTTTCAAAGGCTAGCTAACTTATTTTTTAATTTTTATCCTCTTTTAAAAATAACTCATGCCAGGCTGGAGAGATGGCTCAGAGGTTAAGAGCACTGTCTGTTCTTCTAACGGCCCTGGCTTCAATTCCCAGCAACCACATGGTGGCTCACAACCATCTATAATGAGATCTGGTGTCCTCTTCTTGCCTGCAAATGCAGGCAGAACACTGTATGAATAATAAATAAATAAATCTTTGAAAAAATATTCCTTAAAAAACAACTCCTGCCCTTCAGGTCAGCACACATGGTAAGGTAAACTTTTGTGTGTAATTTTCAAAATGATGATTGTGGTGTTGAAAGAAAGATGTTGATCTACAAGGTAAAGACAGCTAAACCATATTAACTGTGATTCTGAATGTTCCGTGTTATTTTAAAAAATGCCTGTCTTGGGGCCAAGGATGTTTCTCAGCAGGAAAGCATGTCCGAGGCTGTCCATTTGGCCCCCAGCACCACAAGGCAAAGCAAAAACATGTCACATGGATTCTCTTCCAGGGCTTAGGTAAAGAGTGCTAATTTTTGTGAGCCTTCTGTGCTTTCAAAGCTGTATTTCTGCATGACTTGTGTCTGTGTGTGTTTAGACCCACTTACAGTGTAGAGATAAACGACAGGAGCTTCCTACTTTCCACAAAGAAGATCACTCCTAATTTTTAATGTCCAGCATGCTTTCCTGAGAAGGCAGCTACGACACGCACTGCTGGCCTTTTCCTCACTGGCGATGCTTCCTCTTCACACCTAGAACATCAGTCATGCGCACACATGTCTGATTGACCCACGCCGATTGATTGTTCTTCAGCAGTACTCACATATGGGACGCAGAACGGAGGTAGTTTTTTGCACACCGTCATCATCGAGAGTGTAGGACACACAGTTGAAAATGCGTCTTTCCCCAGCGTTGCCACACCCTGGCTCTGTGGCTTTCTTGCAGTGGTGAGGATTAATGAAATGCTCCCAGCGCAGGTCTAGGGAGAGCTGCATCTTGTGCGTGGCAGGGTGTCTCCCCTTGCCTGCTCCTGTAACTCTCATCAGTGTTAATAGGAGTTTCTCCAAGTGTGTCCTGGGAAGAGAAGCACCAAAGTGATAAGAATGTCTGTTTAGAAATCACCGTATACTTTTCTTTCTATCTTTTCTTCTCTGCTCCTACTTAAAAAAGAAAAAAAGAAAAGAAAATCTATTAAATGAGTGTTGTGAGAGGGTCTGAAGAGGGAAGAAGGGCTTGGGCACTGGGATCCCACAGCTAGGCCAAAAACTCTGACCCTGTTAGTTTTTAGTTCAGCTTTCTTCCACATCCTTGGCTCAAGCCTAAGGCCTGAGCAACACAGGGAACATGTCTGGACCCCTACTGGGAAAACAAGCTATTTAGACCTTCTGCCTCTTGACTGTAACTGTCTGGTGGGCCTCACATGTGAAATGATGTCATCCCCTCTGCTCCAGTTCCTTGACTTTCAAGCTGACACTGACAGACTGCATGGGGTGCAGCATTTGACCCATTTAGCACTTGATTTAATGTGACAGGAATGTTTCAACTTCTAAATCTCCATTTGTCTAAATAAGTGGTTTTTAAAGGAAATCAGTCACTTTATTATTAAGTGATTTTTTTTTTCTTAAAAAAAAAATTGACAATGTTTGACGCTATCTGGCCAGCTGGAGTGCCCTCTAGTGTCCACTTACAGAATTTATTTAATACAGGCCTGGGGCCTGGGTTGGGGTGATTAGGGTGGCCACAAGCATGGTTACCAACTGGCTGGATTCTGGGGCTTGCACACGGCCCCACTGGTGTCCCTGCTTTGAGCACTTTGAGCCCAAGTGTCTGACAGCCAATTGTCTGTCTTTTCCTGCCTTCTCATCCTCCCCACCCACCCTGTCGTGCTGCTCCCATTGTCCCTGTCTCTGTTTCAGTCTTTAAAAATAAAAATTAACATGGGGTTCTGTTACGTTGTATTTTCTAGTCCTTGCTTATTTTTTCACAAATATAACTGAAAAGGCACGTACTATAAATACTTAGATTCCATGTTTCTCAGATCGCCTTTAAAAAAAAAATGTTAAAAACATTAAGGAGAATTTAGACTCTTCTCATAAATTAATACTTTGTGAAGACCAACACTGTGCCAACTGTACCAGTGTGACGAGTTGTGTTGAGATTGCCAAGAAGCCTGTTGTTTGAAAGCCATCTAACAAAACTAAGATGACAACCCTAGTCGAGCACAAGTCTCCACATTATCCCCTCAGACCAAAGATGACACCCCAGCAATGGAGGTTGCCAGCACGTAAGCGCTGCCTGGCGAGTGCATCCACGGACATCTTACGTCTCAGTGATATTACTTGCATTCTTTTTTCCTTAACTCATCAAAACTCAATTATCATGAAATTAAAAACAGGAAGCAGCTCTCTGTAACAAAAGCATCCAGTGTACTTCAGTGTGTGCTGTGTTTTAGGGACGCCACACTGTGTGAGTGACAAAGCAGTGATTGCCGGTTACTGTGGCATCGCAGAGCGGAGAGCACGGAACAATCAGTCAGTTAATGGTGTGTGTGGCAGCCTGAGCACACCACAGCCGTTGTGCTGGTGCCCGAAGAAGGATGAGCCTCTAACTGCAATGTATGTTACATGTTTATTCCGACTAGCGTCCTAGACCCAACTGACAAAAATCTGTATTGGCAATCTCAGCGTTGCAAAGACAGGGTAGAGACAGCTTTGAGAGACTTTAGGTACAAATGCCTTAGGTTTGTGTCTTAAAGTCTACTACTAAGATTACTATTCCTGCTATCATCTGTTGCAAACTCGGTGAGATGGTTGCTTCAAGTCTGTCTGTCCTGTCCCTTCGATATTGCTGGTTATACAGAAAGGGCAGTTTTTCTTCAGAACACACAACAAGGGAGCTTAGGACTCTTCATACAACAAGCAGAAGCACTTGGTTGTTGTGATGAGGATGACATTGCTGCAGGGTTTAGATTAAGGATGGAAATGGAGGTGGGCACAAAAAAACAAACCTTTTAAAAATGATCTTCACGAGCATGCTCAGAGGTAGGCTTTTTTGACTTCCTTGGCAGTCTAGGATGGTCCTTTAATTTCTGTTGGTTCAAGCCGTAATTCCAACTTTCTCTTTCTTTTTCCTAGGAGATAAAAGCACTGATTATGCTAATTTTTACCAGGGCTTGTGGGATTGTACTGGAGATCTTTCCGACGAGTTGTCCTTTAAGCGTGGTGATGTGATTTACATTCTCAGCAAGGTAAGAAAGCACCCCCAAAATGACAGCTGTCAAGGGGAAATCAGTTCTTCTGCATTTGAATTTACAACGTGAGGGAAAAATGCCAATTGGAATTCTTTTAGGCCCTTGTTAACAATTGGAAGTTTGCAATAATTAATGATTTTGTCAAGTGAAATATAATCAGAATTTAGACACAATCAGATAACAGGATCCAACTTAGCAGAGTGTTTACCCTCTCACCAGCCCTTGGCGGGCGTCCACCTGCTCCTTCTCCAGAAACAATATACGTATGTGAAAGTTAACATTGTATGGTATTAGGTTATTAGCTATGTTTTTCTTGCTTCTTCCTTCTTATTCTTCTGTGTGCTTATTCTGAGTTTGCCTGCCATTCTCCACTGGAAACATTGTGTTTATGCAAGAAGTTTTTCATCTTGTGTAAACACATTGGGTGTTCCAACAACTTAAAGGCAATGCTTCTCTATTCAGACGGGTTGAGGTAATTTTTTAAAGTTTAACACACTGTATTTGTAAGTACGATGGCAGAGTATGTTGCCACAAACTCATCCTTATATACAGGATGATTGTATTATATACATCACCTCTGCTGTCTATGATACTGAGCTGTAGAACCTGTCAGCTCTAAAAATCAGGTCATACTTCTGAGGCTGTATATGAACTCTCTCAATTTTCATTTTTAAAAAAAATGTCTTACTATACTATAGGAAATTTTTTAAAAGTCTACTTTTTGAGACTGTCTTAGCACCAAATGATAAATAGAGATGATTGAAATACAAGCAGGGAAATGTTAAATAGGTCATAAGGCTAATACTTTAGTGTGATGATCTGAGAAATATTTGGGATATTTCAGAGGGATAATATGATCTATTAGATATAAAGGGAATTTGGAAATAAGGTCACATGTCAGATTTTAACATTGGATGGCTGGTACAAAAATCTTGACCCAGCTGCTCATAAAATCTTAATGTGGGCATCTTAATGAAGATAGTTTGTTCTTGGCTCTACAAATACGGGACATGGGTCAAGAAAGTGTGGACGCAGCACGTGAGCTGTATTGTCTTGACTCAGACTACTTATTTTCCATCTCTTCTGCTTAATTCCACACTATAGTAAAGCATCCACAGTACCAGGACACATTCTAGGCACCAGGAATGCTAAGGGAATAATATATAAGCACTTGGACATTAATGGGAGATGAATATTTAGTAATAACTTAATACAGGTAGCTGTGATCACAGCTTGTTGAGATGGCCAAAGCCAAGACTCCTCACACACGTCTCCTGCTCATTGGTGTGGTGTTGTTCAGTTCTTGGAAGCCATGGGCAAGTGACCAGCCCTATTGCAACCAGATGCCACTACCAGGATCGCACCCACAGCCTTTCTCATGCTACTCCGTGCTGTGGGCTGAGCTACCTCCTTAGCCATGCTCCTACCCATCTTTTCCCCATCTGTCTCAGGCTGGTCCTGAACTCCAGTCAGCTTCCCAGTGGCAGGATCTCAGGTGTTGTCTGTGGTGTCCTACTCCACATGACAGCTTTTGGTTAAGTCTGTTAATAAACATTTAATTGTCCAGAGTTCAAACAGCACCTTTTAAAGTTAATTATTTAATAGAAATAACACTGCTTGGCCCAGTTTTTATCAGGAAACATTCCTGAAATTTCTCCCAAATTTACCAAGCTCACTTTTTTGGTTTTTCAAGACAGGGCTGTGTAGCCTTGGCTGTCTTGGACTTGCTTTGTAGACCAGGCTGGTCTTGAACTCACAGAGATCCACCTGCCTCTGATTCCCTAAGTTCTGGGATCAAAGGCGTGTGCCACCACCGTGTGCTGGCTCAGGTTCTTTAACCAATTTGGCTGCAAGTATATAAAATTAAAAGGTTGATTAACTTCTATTTGATAGTTCAGATTCTAGGGATAAATGGCATAGCCGTGTGTATTCCTTTTGCACATATGGAGCTTGTAAAGCCCACATTCTTAAGGCCTGCTTCATGAGACAGCTTGGCTGCTGTAAAGCCTAGGCAGGAGACACTCCCCCGCCCCCAGGGCAAAGTGGCATGGGCTGGTCTCACTTCTACCATTTTCTGTTCATGTGAAATTGAAAGTGTAGTCCTAGTATGCGCTGTGCTTCCAGGACAATGAGGATAGCAGTTCGGGTCTCTGAAACCTGTTTTGTAAAAGACTAATTTATGTATAAAGCTTGATCTGAGAACCTGGGTTAGAGGTGGCCCAGCTCACGGGCGGCTTTCACTTCTGTCTAAGCATCTCAAATGCTGGGTGAGAACTGGCCTCCTCTTTCAAACCTTTGCAAGGCTTGACGGTCCAACATCGCAGTCAGTCCTCTGGGTGCCATCCTTCCAGACGTGGCATTTTAGCTGGGGCTCATTTTGGTTTTTGAGCAAAGAGCCAAGAAGGATGAACTTAGCCACCACCTCTCACCCGCTGAGTGGTTAGTGCTCAGAGTCAGCAGCTGTGAGCCTCAGAGAGCGAAGTAGGGAGCACAGCCGCCAGCCCCCCCCCCCCAACCTGGGGCCTCCACCCAGCAGACTTGACTGGGCTGTCTGCCTGCGTGTGAAGACCTTTCTACCTTGCATTGGGCAGGTTCAGAAAGGAACTCTGGACAGTCTCTCAGGATTGCTATAAGCACAGTTTTGCCCAAACTGGCAAACACAGACCTTAGTTAATACCACGACTGTGTTTAATCTCCAAAGTTAAAATAATAAACTGAGAACTTGATATTTTCAGAAGAAAGTAATGAATTTCTAGATCAGGGTAGGACCAGTGTTGGATACTTCTGGGATAAGCAGCTGGCTCAGTGGGGAAAAGTGCCTGCATTTCCCGACAACCAGAGTTCCACCCCTGAGGCCCACGCACTGGAAAGAAAGAACTGGCTTCAGAAACTTGTACACACATGTTAAATAAACCCAAAATTGATTCTTTAAAAGTAAAAGCAGTATAAAAATAACTAGTATCTCATATGCCTAGAAATTTATTTAGTTTTAGAGTATTGTCTCCATCTTTGTGGTGACAGCCTGGAATTTTTATCATTTTAATTTTTTCACACCATCTAGTGGCTCAGAGCGAGTGGTGCAGGTAATTGCAGCTAGTGTGCACAATCAAAATGGTGTCACTAATTCAGCTTCAAATCTAGCTACGCCTCATGACTTTCCCATCTCATGTCAAGGAAGTATTAGCATTAATCATGAAAAACTTTGTTCATCATTTTGAATTAAGTGTGGAAACTGTATACACAGAGGAATGTATTTTAAGGAATCTAGCACAATATTTGTGGAGACATAGAAAGTGAATACTTCGTAAGAAATCGATGTCATGACTTTTAATAAATGAAACTGTTCAAAAGGTTGTCAGAAATGTAGCTTAGTCTTAGAAATGTACTTTTAGACTATTTTCATTATGTATCTTTATGGAAATATAGCTTCATTTAAAACTTTCCCTTTCTTCCTTCCACTCTCTCATCCTCCCTTCCTTCCTTCCTTTTTCATGGAAGCTGTGATGGCACGTCAGCTGTGCTCAGCACCAGGCCGACTTACTTAGGTTAAGCGTCTATCTTCACCATCACCACCACCCCCTTTTCTTGTCTTCAGTGAAAATCAGATGCTGCAATAAAGAAAAGCAGGCAGACACCCTGCCCTTCCCCCTTTCCCTTTTTAACATTTTCCAATTAGCAGCTGTCATGTGACCCTCTGGCTGAGCTAGCCCCTCCTTCAAGTGTAAGGCGTTTTTAGTGTCCCACTTTGAAGCTCACTAACCAGAAATCTCAGCACTGTTTGCTTTAAATGGAGACAGTACCTCCGTGCCTTATCATTCTCTACATATGAACTTGATGCTTATATGGAGATTTAGAAATCTTTTTCTCCTACAAAAAAAAAAACAGCATATTTTCAGGGACAGATGAAAGTATAATTTGTGATTTTTATGCTGTTTTGATGGTAAGTTAACTCTGAAATACACAGCATGATCTCAGATTTTTTTTTAAGAGAGGAAAGGCCATACTATAAGTAGAAAAGTCTTTTAATCTTTACTTTCTGTTGTTTGACAGAATTCAGTTCTTTAGAGAGTCATGCTAAACATTTTTACTATTTGCATCTCAATTCTGTTTGTTTTTTTTTTGTTTTGTTTTGTTTTTTCTTTTTTCAAACCATGGACGTAATCTGGTAGCTAATGGTGTTTTCCTAGAAACACGCCTGTGCAACATTCTAATTTCATCATTGGGTTCCAGGGCACAGAGCAGCAGCAGTGACTCTTGTGCCCAGTTTCCTCTTTGGTCCTGCTGGCCTGCCTCCCTCTTTTGGATTTCCATCCTCTGGCTGTTTATCTTTCAGTCTGTACTTGTTGGTACATTGCTAACCACATTATCATTCTTGCTTTTCAAGCATTAAAAATTATTTTTAGAGCGTAACAGACAAGCTATCCTTCAGCAGGAAAGAGGCGTGCTGCTTAAGACTCTAGAATATTTTCTTTCATCAGAGGCACACATGAGTTTAGCTTTGCAGCCTTTAAAAATATTTTTTTTATTAAGACCAAAACGGGAAATGTAGACGAGACAATGGGCGTGAGTGTTCAATAAAACACTTTGAGTTTTAGGCAGCAATTTCTGCGTGTTTGGTTGATACTCCCCCAGTGCTTGGTAAATTGTGACTGTCATTGACCATTTACTTCTTGTGGGAATACAAAGGTTTGCTGAGTATGGCTTTGGGGGCTTCAAGCCTATAAAATCAATCAATCAAAAGTGTCACTGGCAGAGAAAAAGACATTGGTTTTTCTATTTGTTTGGGTTTTTTATTTGTTTGTTTGTTTGTTTTAATACATAGGCCTCCCAGTTTCTCATTTGTGGTCATATGGCTCAGGAAAGCACAAATAGCATGGCCAACCACTGGACAGAGCAGCTCAAGGGGACAACCACTGCTGACACTGAGTGAGGCCTTGGAGTGCCATTGGATTCTGTGGCCTTTGGGGAAGGAAGAGTGTTTTTTCGTGTGGTTGTGT